AAAAAAAAAAAAAAAAAAAAAAAGCTCATACCCAAATTCACAAAACCTATTTTTTAAACCAAAGCACATTTTGAATGAGTATGGAACCTCAATGGGCTCAGAAAAAAAAGATACTAATATATTTATCTCATTGTTTACATAAACTTTTACAGTTTCAGACCTCAGCAGCTGTAAGGCTAGTCCCAGTGAATCCCCACCTTCCGCTGGAGGCCCTTCTGAGTTGGCTCACGGGCAGAGGGGCAGGCCTGGAGGCCCCCCAGATTCACCTGAGCCCTCCTCCCCAGCCTGAGGCCTCTCAAAGCCCAGCTGGCACCAAAGAGCTTGGGCCGATGCTGACTGCCCCCCAGGCCTCCTGGCCAGACCTCAGAGGTCCTGGCTAGCTGGCACAGCAGGGGGTGGCCGTCAGCTCTGGCCACAGGACCCGAGTCTGGGGTTGGGCCCCAGGATAGAGGGTCCCCCACTCTGCCCGTGACCCTCGTGGTGGGTTGATGTGAGGGTCCCTCTCAAGCCAAAAAGCCGGGATCTTTGCACAGCTCCGTTAACTCCAGTGGGTCCCCACCCCCAGGGGACACTCCCACCCCCGGCAGTGGGGGGGTGCTTCCTGGGCTGGTCCTTACCAACACAGACGGTGCAAACACTCTGAACAGTGTTGTTTTTGTATCAATATGTTTGTGCAGTGATGAATGTATTTATTTCTCAGACTTGGGGCGAGTGAGCGGCCGGCTCCGCCACCGCTTGCTCCCACCAGACCGAGCCATCACAAGGGCTCCTCCAGGATTGCAAAAAAGGTAAAAAAGAGAAGATGAACCTTTAAGCAAAGAAGAATCTCAGAGACTCGCAGCATAGCCATACACCTCAGCCTGTGAAATGAACAATTCGGACCCAGACTGACTTGGAACCTCACGCAGCCTTGTGTGTGTATTTCCCGTTCGTCACCACTCGGGGGCGCTGGGCTGCCCCGCTATGCTCCCACCCCCACCCCGTCAGTATTCACTGGACTGGACCGCGTGCAGGAGTGCGATCTGGGCCGGGCTGGCTGGGCAGGCAGACCCTACCGCCCTCCCCACAGCCGTCCTGAGTCGGGGAGGCCTGGGCAGCCAGGAGGGCAGGGCTCAGGGAAGGTGGTGGGGGGGGGGGGGGGGGGGGCGCTGCATCCGTCCACCCCCTTGGCTTGGGGAGGAAAGCAGAGGCACTGGGCCTCCAGAGAACAGACCAGGGATCTCTGCCCTGTTGTACCCCTAGAAGGGACCAAGGCCCTTGCTCTTCGCCAGAGTCACGTTGGGGCAGACATTACTGAACCTGTGAACTGATGCCAGGAGTGCTAGGATGGAGAGAGGGACCTACTCAGCCTCAGTGTGACATTCCAGATCAGGGGGTGGAGGTTCGCTGTGGGAATGGAGGCTGCCCAGGCCCCCGTTCCTAGGACGCTTCTCCCCTGCCAGCTTCAGTCACCCACTTTAATTTTTCTACCGGGAACCCCTCCCCCTACCTCACCTTGCTATTTATTGCTGTAATTTATTGACCTCAAAAATGCTGCATAACAGACCTCACTTGGGGCAGGGAGGTTCCCCAGGGCTCCCCCCCTCCTCTTGGTGGGGCCCCGTGGGGCCAGGTGCTGAGGGGAGCCTCTCTGTATCCCACCCATCACTTGTTTTCCCCCTCCCCCACTTGGGGGACCCCAGGTTGGGCACCTGCCCATTCGCAAATACCTCGAGGGGGAGGGGGAGGGATGGGGTTATAGCCGTTTTGTTTAATCGGAGAAGCGGGATCACGTCCTACTCTTATTTCCTTCCCGGAAGGGGGAGGGGCACCGTGATCGCACTCCTGTACTGGCCACCGCCGCTATCCGTCTTCGCATCGAGTTCACTTCCTTTGAGAGTTTGGATAAATTCAGGTCAGAGCTGCAGGTACGCAGCCCACAAGTGTCATAGAAAAAGCAATTCACCGACGACTGATCTCTCCATTCAGAAGCGTGCAGTCTTAATGTACAGTGATGAGAAACTGTTATTTTATGATCTTTTCATTAAAAGCTTGATTGAAAACTATCTTGTATGGGGCCTCTGTGTTCTGTGCCTGTTCTCTTCTGCTAAATGACACACTGCTTTCCTGTGTCCAGCACTTGCAAGACCCAGGAGGGTGGGAGCTGGGATGGGCCATCTGCCCACTATTGTCCTAAGGGCGGGTTTCAGGTGAAATGGCCCCAGGGGCTGGAATCTCACTTGGCCATGTGTGTGCATCCTGGGGTTGGGCTGTGGACCAGGGAACCAGCACCCTAGGGTCAACATCCTTTTGGGCAGTGTTGGCCTGAGTTAGCCTGTTCAGGAAGCAGTGGATATGTAGATAGGGACAGGGACCTGGTGGCCTGGATGAAGGGAGGTCTGGCTTGGGCCCAGGACCACCTGTTGGAGCAACAGAGTCATGCTGGGGCAAGACAAGGGCTCTCTACTGCACACTGCTCCTGATTCCTGCTTAGGGTAAAGGGGGGAGGAAGGAAAAGATAGTCTTAAGTTTCCAGGGGCAGAGACAGTAGTTCCAGTTCCCTGGTGGATTGTCCCAGCTACCAGAGGGGAATCCCAGAATAAGTGAAGATCCAGTAGGAGGGGCAGGGCTGGGGCCAGGAAGGTGGTCAGCAGCGGATGACCTCAGACCCCAAAACTCCAGAAGAATATGGACATTGCTGCTCTAAACCATGGTAAGCTCCATTGAATTATTTTTATTTCTTCTTTCAAGTGTGTTTTTTACATTTGTTTTTAAGTAATCTCTACACCCAACATAGGGCTCGAACTTAACCCTGAGATCAAGAGATGAATGTTCTACCAACTGAGCCAGCCGGTGCCAACTGTTCAATTCTTTTAAAATTCATGGGGCACCTGGGTGGCTCAGTTGGTTAAGTGCCAACTCTTGATCTCAGCTCAGGTCATGGTCTCACAGTTCGTGGGTTCAAGCCCCAGAATGGGCTCTGTGCTGATGGTATGGAGCCTGCTTGGGATTCTGTGTCTTCTCTTGCCCCTCCCCTGCTTGTGCACATGCACGCTCTCTAAATAAACTTTATTATTTTATTTATTTTTAATTGTTTAAAATCTTTATTTTTGAGAGAGAGAGACAAAGTGTGAGTGGGGGAGGAACAGAGAGAGAGGGAGACACAGAATCTGAAGCAGGCTCCAGGCTCTGAGCTGTCAGCACAGAGCCCGACGTGGGGCTTGAACTCACGAACTGTGAGATCATGACCTGAGCTGAAGTTGGATGCTTAACCAACTGAGCCACCCAGGAACCCCAAATTTTGTTATTTTCTTTAATGTTTGTTTATTTTGAGAAAGCACGAGCAGGGGAGGGGCAGAGAGAGATGGAAACACAGAATCCTAAGCAGGCTCCAGGCTCTGAGCTGTTATCACAGAGCCCCACTTGGGACTTGAACTCACGAGCGTTGAGATCATGACCTGAGCTGAAGTCGACGCTTAACCGACTGAGTTACCCAGGCGCCCCATAAATAATAAAATAAAAGAAAAGAAAGAAAAGAAAAGAAAATTTGTTTTTGTTTTTGTTTTTTTTCCACGTACTAACTGAACATAGTTTAAATAATCAAAAGCTTCTTTAAAAGGCTTAACACGGGTGCCTGGGCTGGCTCAGTTGGAAGAGCATGTGACTCATGATCTCGGGATTGTGAGTTTGAGCCCCATGTTGGGTGTAGAGATTACTAAAAAAAAAAAAAAAGAAAAAGGCTTAAAACAAACAAAAAATAGTCTTTTGTTCCCTTAACCCCATCACAATGTATGCAGACCCCCACTTCTAATTTGTAGCATCATTTATGCATTTATCTCCACATTTCT